CACACACACTACACACACAGTACACGACGACACACACACACACACACACACACACACACCACACACACACACACACACACACACACACACACTACACACTACACACACACACTACACACACACACACACACACACACACACACACACACACACACACACACACACACACACACACACACACACACACACACACACACACACACACACACACACACACACACACACACACACACACACACACACACACACACACACACACACACACACACACACACACACACACACACACACACACACACACACACACACACACACACACACGTACACGTATACACACAGAACTGTTAACTGACAGAGGGGAACTACCATCCAATGCACCAGAAGAGTCTGGCTGCTCTCTTGTTCACTTTACAGAGCAAGAGCTGCACAACCAGGAGTGTCTGGCGTGTGTCTGCGTGTGAGCACCTCCCCCTCCTGAAGCCTTGGATTTTCTTTTCTTTTTTAACCTTTTGGTTTTACTTGTTTTTTGTTCTTTAGCATTAAAACTTTTCTTCCACCAGCTCCACTGATCAGACTTCACAAGGGTCTGTTATCGTAGGACTTTTTGAAAACTGGAAGAGACATGATCCATCTTTGCATTGTTAAAGGACAGTGCCTAAACTCTTTCTGTCCTGAAAGACTCCTTGAACCCCACAATTCTTTTTTTGTTTAGATGTTTGAGGTTTAAATGTTAAGGTAGGCATTGTTTTAAAAATGGGACAAGAGGTCTTTTTAATGTTCTAGTTTCAAAGGTGTCTTTTTTTTTGTTTTGTCCTCCTCAGGTGCGTGTTGTATTTGATCCGAAAACACGCAGCACACTCTCTGTCCGTGTACAGGCTGTGACTGCAGTGTGCTGCTTGGGAAATCTGTGAATGGATGACATGTTGTTTTTAATCTGTGCGTAGTGATGTGCTTTGTGTGTGTTTGTGTGGTTCTGTCTTAGGGTTATACAAGAACATGTCAGGGTGTATTTTCTTTTAGGGTTCCTAACTCCTCTGCCTCCTAACTGCTTTTTACACCATATAACTTCTGCCTCCATTTTTTCAAGTTCACCTCTGGCCATTTTCTACCGAGACCTCGACAAACTGTCTGTATTATCGTTGGACTCAACTTCCTTCTTCTTTGCAAAACCTCACAGATGCCAACAAAATGTACTTTGCAGTGGAATTAATGCTCGTCAGCGCAGATAAATCCACGGCCGTTCTCACCATGGACACACAGTGGTAGATATTATTTGTCCATTTATTGGATTGTATTGCAGAAATGCATTTCCGTAAGCAAAACATCTCTTCTGCGAGTTTGGTCGGAATGAAAGCATTTCTTCTCTTAAAGCCGCCTTCACATGATGTGCAATCTAGCCCTCGCTAACCGAAGATCGACTCAGAGCCTTGCGGGAAAAACAGCTAGCTAGTTTAGCTACTATGGTTACTTTTCCTGCTAGCTTGCACGACTACCTACAGCTGTTATCTGATTGGTTGCTCTTTGAGAGGTCAGAAACAATTGAGGTGAAATAAAAGAAAATGTAAGTTTGGTTGGAATCAAATAATCTATTCTCGCCTGAAGGCGCCGCTACACAATGCGCAATTTAGTGTTTGCTCACTGAAGATTTACGCAGAGCTTTGCGGAAAAAACGGCTATCTAGTTTTGCTTCTATGGTTACTTCCATTGGTAGCTTGCACTGCTACGTACAGATTATCTGAGTGGTTACACTTTGAAAGGTTAGAGACAATAACAATTTGAATCATTTGAGACAATTTGGGGTAGTGGGTGACACATGAGGGTAGCACTTCCACGTAGTCGGGCAACATCGCTCTCTTTATATAAACAAAACAATGTCAGAGCAGAGCCGTTTTATCGCTGATGATGTGAAAGCATGCTTTATCCAAACAATTTCTGACTGCTATAACATGTAGCTACGTGGTTGCACTGTAAGCAACAGAAGTGAAGCCATCCAGTTCACATGATTCATTTATGACATAAACTAAACTAAATGAAAGGCGTTAGGCTCAGTTAATATGAGAGTCCAGGTAGAAAATGGACCGCCGTGCTTTTAAGAGGCTTTAAGGACGTAAGGAGGTCATGGAGAGTTGTCTTAAGAAAGCGTGTACGAGCCATGTTGGAGTTTTTCGGTCACCTGTGAATGACCAATGAGACCTGCAGACTTTAAAGTAGAACATCCTTGATGTGATAGACTACTGGTTGTAGGCTGTAATTGTGGGAGTGTGGGGTTGGGTTGTACATGCTTGTTCTGTTGTCGTGTATAAGGTGTTACTCTGTCTGCCAAGTCCAGATGAAGGAGGCGGAATACGGAGGGATTGGAAACGCCTCATTACACAGCTCACATGGGGGCTTGAAAAACAATCTAAAGTGGCGGATGAGCTTGTCTGTCTCACTGATGATGGCGATGATAGATGCAGGAACACTAAACAAGGGATAATGTTTTTTTCAATGTCTGCGTCTCACTTATTTTCTTAGTTTGTCACCTGCGGTCCAGTTTGGCTTTGAACTGCACAGCGGATATCTCTTACTGTGGATTCAAGGGAAATCTTTCTTTCCACTCCCACCTTAAGACTTAAGCTCCTCATTTGTAATGCCACTGTATTTGTGTATTTTAAAAGTGTAAATAAATAAGTACTTGTATGTGTTTCTTTTTATTTATTGGGATGACTGAAGAGAAAGCTGTAGGTACTTGTGGGTATGTTTTATTTGCCCTTTAGACCGCATGGAACCATCCTCTGGAGACAATGGATTTCCATACTATATTACACATGCATCATGCTTAATGAATGGAAAGGGGTTAAATGCATGAAGCTCAGCACACATGAAATCCCAACTCCACATGAATGATAAAAATGAAAGCAGCAATGTTATACAGCATGAATGCTATTATGTCAGCAGTGGAGTATCAAAATGTTGATTAATATCCACATAATGGCGTATCATTTCATTTCAAACCTTTATTTAACCAGATTGGTCCCATTGAGATCATAGATCTCTTTTTCAAGGGAGACCTGCACTGTCAAATACATGCAGGGGCGGACTGGCCATTGGGAATACCGGGAGTTTCCCCGGTGGGCAGGTGCTGTGTGGGCCGGAGTGCCAAAAAAAAAATTCAAATTTTTTGCCTAAATCCTACCGGCCCACATTTGTAAGTGTTCCGGCCACTCCCTTTTTTTTTTTTGCTTACCTAAATCCTACCGGCCCATATTTGTAAGTGTTCCGGCCCAGCACAGCCCATTTTGATAGGCTACACTGTTAAAACTGTTGCTTTGGTAAAACTTAAAAAATATGTGTCAAGTGATTCCAAGCAATTTTAAGAGTTTAGTCAACTTTTGCATTTTTTTAGTTGGTGAAACGTACTTTTTTTTTGTTTTCCTCTACTCAAGAATGTGTTACTTTGCTAAAACTTAAAAAATATGTGTCAAGTGATTCCAAGCAATGTTGAAAGAAAAAGTAAATCTGTTTACAGTTCTGTTATGGGTGTTGAAGAAGAAGAAGAAGAAGAATTGGGAGGGATGAAACCCTCTTTAATGGTCACATATGCAGAGCACACAGCACACACAGTGAAATGTGTTCTCTGCTTTTAACCCATCCTAGTACCAGGAGTCTAGTAGGAGCAGTGGGCAGCTATTATACAGCGCCCGGGAAGCAATGGGAGTGAGGGGGGAAGGGGGATGTCTGGTGCCTTGCTCAAGGGCACCACGGCAGGGCAGGAGGTGAACTGGCACCTCTCCAAGTAGAAGTCCACACTCCAAATGTAGGTCTGGTCGGGGACTTGTACCGGCGACCCTACGGCTCACAGTACAAGCCCCTACTGACTGCCATAGATTTAGTCCCTAATTTTGCTCTCAAAGTGCACCAGATTGATGCATTTAACTTCAACATTTAAAAAAAAATCTTCCCGGGGGAGCTTGCCTCTGGACCCCCCCTAGAGGAGGTGAGGTCCACCACCTGCCCACACCCCCTGTTAAATTGTCTCACCCACATTGAGGATGCTTCCTACGCCCATGTTTTATTCCATGTGTCAAGTCAGGCAAATTGGATCAAAATGTTATTGCATCAATGATCTGTTAACATTAAAATCACTAAATATATGCTTTAACTATTTTGCTCTCTCAAGAGCTCAGGTAATGTGATTACTATATGAATAATTGTCCAAAATAACATAAAATGCACAGGGTTTTTTGTTAAGTAACATACTTTTGTCGCTGGCCGGACGATACATGCCACTCATTAAGTGGGCCTGTCTGTCAATTAATCCCCGGGCCACTTTTTCCCCCCAGTACTGAATACATGTAGTGTCAGTGTTAATAAGAACATAATTTGAAGAGGCTTGGATATAACGTCATTTGCAAGCAATCACCACAACTGACTGATACAGGAAGACGGCTGTCAATCAAGCAAAAATGCCCCAAAGCAGGAGTCCCTTTACTTCTTAAAGCTGCACTTGTCCAAATGTTTATATTCAAGGTCCCCTAATATAATCCAACAATATATTATAGGTCTCAGATATATACAAAACATGTCTCTGAAGTGTTTGGCTGAAATATCAAACAGATCATGTATTGTAGCATGCCATAAACCCCTCTGTTTCAGCCCTGTTCCAAAAGTGCTGATTCTGTGTCTGTAGCTTTAAATGCTAATGAGCTGCTGCTGGCCAAGCCCATCTGAGAGATGATTGGTTTAAAAAAAAAAAATGGTGCTCTATGAGGAGATTCAGGTGATAAGTT